TTCAGAGTAAGCCGGGTGAACATGTCGCCCAAAAATGTCTAGTAATAGTAGCGCCTTAAGCATAAAATTATAACCGCAAAATGGGAACGATTTTCTTATCAGAAAACGTGATTTCAATTTTTGCCAAGTTTGGAATGGGAAGTCCTACACCCAATTTTAAGGGTTCAAAATTCAGGAGTACTACCTTAGTTTGAATAAGATCTCAAATTTGGATATTGTGTTCCAAATCAGGTAAAATCAGTTTAAAACTTCAGATTAGGAAATTGAGCGTCAGAATTTAAGAACATCTTTTAGAAACTCTTTTGCAATAGTTATGTATATAATTCTAAAAAGTCCTAATTGAAAAATTGGTGTAATGGCTGACTTGAGGCAACCATCGAAAATGAAATAATTTCAAGTTTGATCGCCAAATTAAATTTCCATGATCTTTGTGCCAATCAATTCTATAAAAAAAACAACTCATTAAAAGGGCAAACTAAACTCATATTAAAATCAATTAATATCAAAAACTTGACATCAACTTTGAGATTTTTGTTATAAATAAAAGAATAAAAAAAGATCAAAGGTTACTTATCAAGTAAAACTGTATTCGATTATTACTTAAATAAAGTTTATAATTGTGACAATCGAATTATACAATTCGAGAAGTGATCGACGATAAGTTTGGTGAGGAGATTTCTTTTTTTGATCTTCAAATCAAAATCGATTTTTTTCTCAAGGACGCCAATCTACAAGTTAAGAGTTGTGCATAAGTGTTAAAACAAATTTGGTTTAAATATCAAACAAAGGATCTTCTGGCTTAGTATCGAAAAAAACTAATCTCGTTACACGAAAGGAGCATCTGATACAATAATGAAATAATTTTACATAAATTAATATTTTTTAATTTAATTTAGCAGTACATACAAAAAAAAAAAAAATAAAATAAAATAAAAAAAAATTTCTTTTACCCATATTTTCGATATCCTCAATTATCATCATTTTTTTTTTTTTTTTTTTTTTTTTTTTCTGAAAAAAAATTTTATTGATTGACAATGCAGTTAGAAATCCTACCAAACCTTTCATCCGATTTCTTAACCTTGCTTAAAGATTCATATAATTATGATGTTATCATCAAAGTCAAGGAGAAAGAATTTAAAGCACATTCAATTATATTATATGCTCGTTCAAATTATTTCAAGTTATTGCTGTCGGAAGGAAGGATATTTAACGAGGATAATACCATATGTCTCAAAATGACGGAAATTGATCCGACCGTCTTCGAAATGATCATGATGTACGTTGTTTTCTTTCATTTTTTTGTTTACCCCCCCCTTTTTTTAAGAAAAGTAAAGAATACATTAAATAATTTCCTTGACATATTTTAATTATTTTGTTTTCTTTCAGTTATTTATATACGGGAGTAATGGATTTTTCAAATGTAGCGAACGAGACGATATTTTCCTTTCTACTCACGACATTTAGATTATGTTTATTCGAAGCTACAGCTTACACACAGTCTTATTTAGTCGATCATGCAAAGTCATGGATTCAAATGAATTTTTCCACAGTATTAAATACGGTATTTAAGTTGGCAAATTGTAGAAAATTACAAAATTATTGTGTAAAGTATTTATGCTTGGAAGCAAAGTCATTCTTTTCATCAAGAGATTCATTACGACTTAGCAAGAGTATATTAAGCTTAATCTTAGATTTAGATAATTTATACATTGAAGAGATAGATTTATGGGATTACCTACTCGAATGGGGAATCACTCAGATTCATAATAATTTTAGTCATAAATTTAATAAAACCATCATCTTATCAAAATGGAACATTATTCAATTTGGAGAGGCTTTGAAGAAAACTTTGGATCCCTTGATTTATAGAATAAGGTTTAGAGAAATTAGCCCGGATGATTTTTATGAAAAGATCAAACCTTACAAGTTAATTATACCAACCGACATATATGAAGATTTAATGTCATATTACCTTATTGGTACACCCACAAAAATAGGAATGCCTTCACTTCCAAGAAGAGGGTATATTAATTCTTTGATAATTAACTCAAGGCATGCAAATATAATTTCCAATTGGATTGACAAGATAGATTTAGATAATAGTGAACTAATATCGAAGTCAAATAAGTATGAATTTAATTTATTATACAGAGGCTCGGTGGATGGATTTAACACAAAAAGATTTCATGAACATTGTAATAATAATGGTCCTTGCGTCGCCATTGTTAAAATTAAGGATTCAAATAAAATTATTGGGGGATATAATCCGGTCGGATGGTGTACGAGTAATTTTTGGATACATTCTAATGATAGCTTTATTTTTTCCTTTGATAATGAACAATCAGACTTGTCTAAAAGAAAGATTAGCAGGATTCTGCAAGGTGGTAAAAATTCTATTTATGATTGTGATGATTTTAACCTAATATTATATTTTGGTAATGGCGATTTGATTTTAGATGGTGTTAATGGAATTTGTGATAAATCTGATTATGAATTTTGTCTTTTAAATGATGATGAAAAATGTTTTGAAGCCGAAGAGCTGGAAATTTTTAGTGTAAATGTTTAAGTATTATTGTATTATTTCTTGTTTCTTGTTTCTATTTTTTTTTTTTTATTTTAAAAAAAAAAAAAAAAATTGTATTTTATTTGTTTTATATTGTTTTATATACGTTTAAATTAGACTTAGTTTTATTATTATTATTTTTTTATTTTTTTTTAAAAAAAAACTACAGCTTTACTATATAGTCATTTATATGTAATTTTAACATTTCTTCCATCAAAATTAAACTCACAATTCATAAAACAATATATTTCATTTTCGGAAGAGAATCAAAAAAATTTAAAAAAACTTACTTTTGACCAAAAAAAGTCAAGCATGGTGATTACGATCGCATTAAGACATTCGAATTAAATGTCGCAAATACAAGATCCTAATCAGCAAATTTGGATTCAAGACATTAAACCTGTTGGTCATAATTAAGCCTCAAAGTTGGGAAGAACATTCAAAAGGAATTTTATCGAACCCAAATCGGATTTTCTGGTTGCTAATATCTGATGATGGGGAATAAATACTAGTATAAATGTGAAAAACAATCAATCGACTTACCCGCGTAAAAATTAGTTTGTCGACACACTTGCCCTTAAATGGTAACTTTATTAAGTTTCGGTCGGAATTCCCTTAGAGTGGGCTGATTCGTTCACGCCTCATCTATTTAAGATTACAAAATAAAAGGTTTTGTAATTTTAAGCCCTTAATGATTGTTAATACGAATGGGGCGGTTTGTAATTTAGGAGATTTTTTTCGCATTGTGTGGTGTGGCATTTATGCATTCATACCTCACATTTATGTCAATAATATTCTTCTTACATACTTTAAGGTTTATAATTTTTTTTTTGTTTATTTTTTATTATTAATACACTTTAACCCAAATTGTGCCAACTGGAATTCAGATTGCAACGTTTTACATCTCACAACACGACTCGATTCCATCATTTTGCCCTTTTATTCCTAAATTCTTGATGAATTACATCACAAAATAAATAATTGGAACTTAAGCTTTTGGTTTTATAACGACAAAAAGATTTCTTAAAACTTGATATTTAATCGTGGGTGGCGCAGTAAATCACAAAATTTACACGCATCATTCCTTTTTAAAATCCATCATGAATGACAATAAAATCTAATAACACAATATTCCTAGAAGAATCAACCCTCCAATTTGAAAACTTCAACTTCCTTAATAACGTAATTATAAGCGAACTCACCCAGATTATATTGATAATTTTGACTATATTTAACATGTAAATTTTTGTCATTATCCATATACATAGCTCCCCCCACCAAAGTTAAATGCGCAATCATAGAATTCATATAACGCTTGATTACTATTTGACACCCGACTAATTTTCATGTTTTGAACATCTTCACTGTTTTCGAAAGAAAAGATGAAACTACCTGATGTCCCATGCCATTGACCACCGGTACAAAAAAAAATCCCGATGGGACTGTACCCGCCAAATATTTTCGGTGAAGAACGGACCTTGACTAAAACCAAGCATGGTGATTGACGATAACATTTATCTTTTAAGACATTCGATATAATACCATCACGACTACCACGATATAAAAGTGTATATGGTAAATTCTGTTCCCCTACGATCCAATTATTGATTATTGCAAAGTGTTTTGGTCCAATAATTAATGAATCATTCTGATTCATTCTATTTCGTGATGATAAAGTCATTTCTGACAAGGAATGGTTCAGATAAAATCCCAAAAGATCTTCATAAATGTCAGGAGGAAAGATGGCTTCATATGGATGAACCTTAAGGTAGAAATCATTCGAACTTATATCTCTAAATCGAACTAGAGGGATAAATTTATTTAACGTATTCTTTAAATCCTTATAACTTTTATCCGTCCACCCCTCTCGGCTACTTTCCAATCCGGAAGTTTGTTTGATGCCCCATTTAATTAAAAACTCCCAAATTAATATTTCATCCATCTGCATGTAATCACATTTAAGGAGACAATAAAGAATCTTCTCATCCAATGATGTAGAGTTGTCGGAAGAGAAAAATGGTAATGGGAGGGCGCAAATTAATCCAAGGCAATGGTCCTGTAATCTCTTACAACTAGAAAGTTTAAACGCTGCGGGAAGTACGTCATTAATATTTTTCTGAATCCAGACTGAACTTTCTTCAATTAAATAATTTTGAACGTCATAAAATAATTCATCAAGGATTAATTCGTCGGACGCAAGTAGTAATTCAAGAATATCTTCTCCAAGCTTGTCTGTTAAATCCACTTCACCTGTGTAAATATACCTATAGTAATCATTCGAAAGAATCAAAAATTTAGTTAAAAATAATTTAGTTTAAAAGTTCAACTAAATTAAAAATCGCATACTTGAGAATCATTTCAAAAACTGTAGGATTGATGTTTGTTTTTTTGAATTCAAACATATTATTACTA